AAAAAGGCCTAGCTTAAGTGTATTTATATGGTTGGCGGCATCTGGTTCCGGATTTGCCTGTCACTGTGGCCAGCCATAGGACGCTTGCGCCTACAGAGGGACCATGGGTGGCTTGCGCTGTAACACCCAAACACCCCATATCCAGAGTAAACCCGAAGAAATAAGACCCGAAGGCATGTGGACGGGAGCTATTTTTCACCAATGGAGTCGACCCACACCCCTTCACAGGCAAACACAAGCACACTGTAGTTGGGAAGCAAGCGCACACAAGGCGACGGCTGGGCCGTAGTCCGCTCCATACTCAGTGCATCGAACCACTCCTTCATCCTAAGACGGCCACAAGAACCGTGCACCCCGTCTCCTACAGCAAAGACCAACTATCTCCTAGGGCCAGTATGGAGGAAGTGGGTAATAGACAGGTAGGCATCTTGTCAACATGCACAACAAGCGTAGCCACATCGGAGATATCAAGCAACAGCCAGTCACTTGAGAGGAAGATAACAGAGAAAATAAATCGAGTGATGCATAAGGAAACGGTGACATAAGTCTTCACTGAATGAGCACATGAAAAATTTATTTAAAAACGAATCCCAGGTAAGTTCACGAGGTGAGAAAGTATAGTTTACGGAAATGCCACAAACGCGAAAATGTTACGAAATGAACCACAATTGGCTTAAGCGACGTGTGCAAGCTTATAGAAGAGAGTACAGGTAGACATCTATATGAGAAAGAAAATTATTAGGACAAAATTGAAACTCACCACTTGAAATAAAGAAACTTAGCATGCAAGCAACCGGTTAGTAAACCGAATGCAGCGTACCTACAAACGCTGCCTTGTTTCTGCCTACGTTCTCTGCAGGACCAGTCGTCGTTTCGGTAGTGGTCACGAGTGGCCTCGCTCATGGCTCACTAGGCCTGCAGTCTCAACCATTCGCGACGGCATGTGCTACAGCACCATGTGCTCGATGACGATGCAGTACAACCCATCGGTGCTTGCCGATTCCCTACTTGCCGCTTCTTCTCTGCATGTATGAGTTCTTTCTCCTGCACTTCGGCAACTGCCTTCCTGATCAAATCGCGCCATGCGCGCTGATCAACCGCCTCCGATTCCCATGACCTGAAATCAAGATTAGAACATGAGAGGCTCAATTTGATTATGTCCTGATAACGTAACTTCGGTTTCCACACATGCCGCTTCCCAATACTCAGCTGACCATATAATGGTTGTTGCGCTATGCGCGTCGAATCCATACGGCTCACATGATCGAGCCACTTCAGGTGTCTCAGTAAAAGTATGCAGTCCACTGCATACATTTCACTTCGACGCAACACTTCCTTGTCTGCAACTCTGTCGCCCCAACCTATGCGCAGATTCCGTCGCAAACACTGCTGATGGAACTGCTCGACATATCGCACATCCCACCGGTACATCGTCCACGTTTCACTGCCGTATAAAAGAACGGATAGCACCACGGATTTGTACACCATCAGTTTCGTGCCAATGGTAAGCTGATGGTTGTTCCACACTCGGTACTCAAGCTTCCCGAATAAAGCCGTGCCTTCGACACGCAGGTACGCAGCTCACTATGTAGCTGCTGGTCAGTCGACATCACACTCCCAAGGTAGCTGAAGCGGGAGGTGGTTTCCAATACTTCAGTGCCAATGCTGATTCGCGGCAATATTGAAGATTGCACCTCCGGTGAAAGCTGAAAGAGACAGGCAGTTTTGCTTGGGTTGATGGTGAGCTCGAATTGTGTCGCTGTCGAAGCCAGAGCACTAGTCATGTGCTGCAACTCATCCGCGCTGTGTGAAAACAACGCACAGTCGTCAGCAAACAGCAACATACCGATAGTTGTCTCACAGACTAGGGTTCTCACACAGAAACGACGGATGTTCAGCAACCCACCATCAATACGGTGCTCCACACGAACACTGTAAGCACAAGCCGCATCAAAAGCACAATACAGCAGTGCATGAAGAAATATAGTAAACAGGGCAGGAGCTAAGACACAGCCTTGCTTCAAATCAGAGACAACTGTAAAGTCATCCGAGAACTCTCCACTCTGCTGCACCCTCGCTCGCATACCACTGTGCAGACATTCAATTAAACTTACAAAATTACGCGGGCAACCAAACTTACCCAACACCAGCCACAATGCCTCGCGGTTCACCGTATCAAATGCCTCAGTGAAATCAACAAAAAGCGAGTACAATGGCTGGTGTCGTTCTCTGCACTTCTCCTGCAACTGAAGAGTCGCAAACACCATATCTATAGTGCTGAGACCCGAACGGAATTCACACTGCTCTTCCGCCACGTTAGGTTCCACAACCTGACTGACGAGGCGGTTGAGCAGGATTCGGACAATCACCTTGCCCACACAACTCAGCATGTTGATGCCACGATAATTCGTGCAACATTGCTTGCTAACTTTGTCCTTGTACAGTAGTAGCACAAGGGCATCCGTCAGCTCAGCAGGCACCTCCTCCTCAATCCACACGCGTTGCACCATGTGGTGCAGCGCAGTCAACAACGCGGGTCCGCCAAGTTTTAACACTTCAGGCGGGATCGCGTCGGCCCCAGCACTCTTGCCGCTTCGCAGCTGAGCAAGTGCTCTCTGCGTCTCATCCAGTGTTGGCGTGTCCGCCAGACTCGCCTTCACATCGTGCTGCTTCAGGCCGTTCAATCTCTGAACGGTTGTTCAAGAGACAGTCAAAGTGTTTCCGCCAGACCTGCATTATGTCTGCAGTCTGGGTGCAGCTAGCGCCTGAACTACCATCGATCAGCGTCCTCAGCAGCTTCAATCTCGGTCCATTTACCGCCTTCAAGGAGTCAAAGAATTCCACGTGTTAGCGGCGTTCGGCGTAGCATTCCATCTACTTCGCCTTCTCCGTCCACCAAGCATTATTTATGCGACGGATCTCTCGGGTCAGTCGCCGTCAAAGTTTGCGAAACTGATTATTCTTCACCAAGTAACCGGGGTCTGCCACATGCGCAGCAAATGCTGAATTTCCACGACACTAATGGTCGCATTGTTCTCATCAAACAAATCAGGCCGCTTACAGTTTGCGTGCCCGATGGTCTCCTCCGCAGCAGCTGTCACCTGGTCGCGAATGTAGTGCCACAGGTCACCCAATGTGGCTATGCCTTCCACATCACACAGGCGTGCAGTCATCTGCTTTTCCAGCTCAGTACGTTTCGCCACAATACCGAGGGAGAGAATGTTGAATCTACGCCGATTCACGGCGGGAGTGCAATACATAGATTTACGAAAATATATGTACAGTTTGGTGCACACCAATTTATGATCAGTGCCACACTCAGCTCCACGCAGTACAAGTGTCATGCGCACTTCACGTATGTCACACTAACGCACGATGACATAGTCCAGCAGGTGAGCGTGACCACTCCGTGGGTGTGCCCAAGTTGCTATATCACTCGCACTCAGTGCAAACCGAGTGTTCGTGATAGTCAGCCCGTGAGTGGCAAACAGTGAGAGCAGCCTGCCGTCATTCGCATTCGCTGAACCAATGTCATGCCAACCGATAACATCTGTCCACACCGATGCATCACGCTCAGCGCGCGCGTTGAAATCACCCAGCAGAAATAGTCGGTCGCTCCTCGGCAAAGACCGTATCACGAGGATAACTGAGTGTAGAATTGATCATGTGTCATCAGGATAACATATAGTCGGAACGTAGGCGCTTATAAAGGTGGCAAACGTACCTCTCGCGAGTTGTAAGCGAACAGTCATCAGTCGCGTGCTAATGCCTGCTGGTTCACCCAACAGCTGGCCATGCACGCGATCGGATATTGCAAATCCGACCCCATGTTCACGTGGTGCTGAGGCGGCGTTGCCCACCTAGTAGAATGTGTAGCCAGCACCTGTTTCATGCAACTTACCTTGCTCAGCGAGCCAAATTTCACTGAGCGCCACAATATCGATGTGCTAGCGCGCCAGTTCCATCGTGACGAGTGCAGTGCGTCGCTCGGGGCGCTCACTCGAGTTCGGGTCCAGTAGTGTGCGTACGTTCCAGCACCCGATGCTGAGTGCTTTGCGCGCAGGCATACGACTGCATTGGTGGGTAGTCGCATGCGAGGTGGCGGATGTACATCGGAGTTTTGCTTGAGGGACTCCGCCCGGAGCCTTTGGCTCAATAACCTCACCCACAAGGCAGTGGGTGAATTGGAGGTTTGCTTGAGGGACTCCACCCGGAGCCTTTGGCTCAGTAACCTGAACTACAAAGTAGTGGGGGGTTTGGATGTTGTCTTGAAGGACTCCGCCCGGAGACTTTGGCTCAATAGCCTGACCCGCAAGACAGTGGGCAGCAGATCCAGCTCGGGAATGTGATTGCAGAGACAGATTGGGATATGCTTGACGTCCGTCACACGCAGCCTTGGAGGTACTGGGACGATTCATATATGTTTTGCGACCGTAGTAGGAGACGCACCTGCGAGCACGGTCAGACGCAGGTGGGTTTTGGCCCGTTTGCACCAATTTGAGCATGGGTTGCTTGGCCTGAGGCGGGCAGTAGCAAACCATTGAACACCCGGAGGTGCCCTCCCACCGTCATAGACAATGCGTGGCGCTCGTGCTCTACGCCAATCGGGCTGTGAGCTTATAACCCCTAGACCTGTTGTCTCCCATGGCTAGATTTTATGGGAAGAGGGCCATCGACCACTTCCTAACCTCCGAAGAGGATGGACTAGGATACTGGCAGGGCGCCCACACCTTACAGGAGAACGACTCGGGTCCTCAGCCATAGCCTTCGATTAAATGTACACCCGAAAGACAGCGGGTCCAGAACATGGTCAGTTCACTGACTCATGCGGATTGTTGTCCTGGATCTTAGCAGGGAGAAGGGCGTAACCCACAGGGCGCACCACAAGATAATACGTATAATGACGATGATAGCAAACAGTGAATAGAGCGCTTGTGAGCGGATTCCGTTTTTTCTTTTGACGCGGCTGTGGGACCGAGGCAAACAACACAGAGGAACAGCAAAACACTAGTCAATGTTATAAAATGCCGATGGGTTTAGCAAGAAGTACATAGAGAAGGCAAGCAATAAATAGCAGTGCTAGCAGATCTGTGATGTGCCAGTGCGCGACTCAAACGAGTACAACATGAAAGACCACAAGAGATCATGCAGAAATATGAAGGTAAACTTTTGAGTTATCTGGCGAAGTAATGCTGCCAGTTCCACGTTATCGATATCCCACACTAAATGGTTGTGTGGCACCGGTCAATGAGTGTGTGCAGCGTCACAAGACACAACGAGAATTCGACAAGTCGGGTAACAGTACGAGAAATAAAAGGACTAAAAAGCAACAACTATCAAGAGTTTGTGGAAACAAGAAATGCCAAAGCAAAAATGAAAAGCACGTCGTGTGACCAGAGTTCTCAGAAACAAAGAGAGGATTCTGGATTGTTCAACGTTAAAAAAATAAACTGTTGTCAGAAGTCAAGATTCCGGGAAAGCGTGGTTTTCATGAATACATCATGAGCGCAAGAAAAGCAGCCGGAGAGCTAGTAACATCAACAATTACAGTCATTGTGATATGTTTCGACTTTGGTAGTTGCGACGCCGAGAGGTAGAGGCCTATCAATGCTGGAAAGTCCACCGAGCACACTACGCTGCCGACCGTAGCCCAATCGATCTGGGTCCAGATCACCGCATTTGATCTTCGCCAATATTGTTCGGATACACTGCAAGAACGCTTCGTCAACATTCTCCCCAGTCAGGGCAGAGGCTTCTATCAGATGAACGTCATGCTCCTCGGCAAAAGCGTTCGCCTCCCAATGAGTTACCTGCCCTTCGGTGTCCTTGAACACAAAAAGAAAACGAGGCACAAAATGAACAAGTAATTGGAGCGCAACGGTGAAAAACGAAAAAACAAGCTCATGGGCGGGCATCTTTACGGCAACAATGAGACGAGATATAAATATGACCTGTGGATGACATGCCTACAAAACTTGGTGAAGTTCAGGAATGACCGAAACAATCCCCACTCTTTCAAGTGTAGTGCAAGCAAGCATTTTTAAAATCGAGTATACTTTACCAATGAGACACTTAACCTTTCTGCTCTCGAAATAGCGCTTATCCATAAAAATAACTATTATACCTGGGGAGGTTGTGCAGAGCAAAAGTGTGCCAATTTATTGGTGGAAGACTTCCTTGATATCAACTGTTTCGAAAAACAGCAACCACGAATAGTCTTTAGTGAAGCGGTCAATTTGATCGGCATTGTCAAACTGACCGTTGTTAGGTGGCCAAGGTGTAGGAACGTGTGGCGAGGAGGCGCTTGTCATATTCAATATTCACACCAAGCGCAGCCATACCGGGGATATCAATCAACAACGAATCCCTCAAATTCAAGGAACTTAACACGCAGACAAACTTACAGACCAACTGCAACGATGATATAGCACACTTACCAAGTGGCCTGCGTTAGTCAATCGAATGGAAGCGGACACAGTGCACCTACCAATCGCTGCACTAATTAAGCGTAGATAATCAGTTGGTTCATTGTCTTTTGGATGCTGGGACTACGTGGACTTGGCCACGTGCCTGAGCCCACCTGGCTCAGGCACTAGCGACCGAGACCGATACAACACCACGCGCTCGACGTTGACGGCCGAGACAACAGCAGTGCGCCAGTACGCAGAAACAATGCTACGCTGCCACGCAACTACCAGTCGCACGTGGATAAAGATACCGCAAGGGTCACCCGGTCCCTACACCGGTTCGAACACGCGCCCTCAGACTACAAACCAGGCTCGTGATCCTTCAGGCTAGGGGCCGGCTTAGAAGCTATCGGCGCCTGCCGCTTTCCTATCCGGCGTTTCTCCTCCGCGTACAATAGTGCCTTCTGCACCTGGGCAACCATGCTCTTGCTGTGAACGCGCCATTGGTGCCGATTAACTGCCTTTGATTCCCAACACCTGAAATCAACATTAGTTCGTGATAAACTCACCTTGATCATGTCCTGGTAACGTAATTTCGGTTTTCCCACGTGTCGCTTCCCTGTATTGAGTTGGCCGTACAGAAGCTGTTTGGATATTCTCGTCGAATTCATTCAGTTGATATGCCCCAACCACCTCAGGTGCCTCAGCAGATGTATGCAGTCCACTGTATACATGCCACTGGGGCGCAGCACTGTCGCAACAACCGACGCAAAGAATCCGTCACAGACACCGTTGAGGAAATCGTTCCAGATATCTGACGTCCTTTCGGTACCTAGTAAACGTTTCGCTGCCATTTAGAACGGACGGCACTATCCACGTGTATACCAGGGGCTTCGTTCCGATGGTAAGGTGGTGGTTGTTCCACACACGTTTCTCCAGTTGTCAAAGACAGTTGCCGCCATTGATATGCGGATGCACAGATCGCTCGTCATCAGTTGGTATGACGCCCCAACTTATCAAAAGTGCGTAGTGGATTCCGAAACATCATTGATAATCTGGATTCGGGGCAGACCCACAAACTCCATTCCTGGTTAAGGTTGAAAAAGACAAACAGTCTTGTTTGTGTTGATGGTGAGTCCGAATTTCGCCGCTGTCGAAGCAAGAGTCGAAGTCATGTGCTGCAACTCATCCGTCCTGTGTGTAAACGCACAGTCGCCAGCACATAGCAACATACGGATGGCTCTCACACAGCATAGTTTTCACCCCGAAACGACGGTGGTTCAGCAGCCCACCATCAATACGGTGCTCCACATGGACACCGTAATAACAAGCAGCATTAAAAATACAAGGCATCCTAGTATATGGATAAATAATAAAGATTAAACATATTAAACATCAGCATTTTTTGCTGTTGCAACCTGTGTAACGTGGGCCAATCAATCTCTAAATGGTTGTTCAAGAGATAGTCAAAGTGCATTCGCCAGATCGGCATTATGTATGCAGTCGCGACTCAAGTGACATCGAGCAGCGTCATCAGTGGCAGCAACGTGGGTCCATAGACCGCCTTCAAAGAGTCAAAGAACGCCTCACGTTGGCGCCGTTCGGCGAAGCATTCCATCTGCTTCGCATTCTATATGCAACATGCATTCTTGATGTAACGGAGCTCTCGGGTCAATAGCCGTCGAAGTTTGCGAAGATGACACTTTCTTCTGCAGTTATCAGGGTCGCCACATGTGCAGCGGACGCTGCATTCTTCACTGGACACCAATGAGACTGAGACTGTATTTAAGAGCAAGTAGAAAGGTTTCTGTACAACTCTATCGAATTAAGAAAAATCAAAAACATTTAGTTGTGAATCATCAGCAGTTGTGTCTGGTCCGTTAGTCGTTTATTCGTGTTCGGTTAAGAATTTAGATTGATGTCATTATTTCCGCGCATACAATGTCTTCTTTTGGCATTGTATGTGCATCGTCTCACAAAAGCACAGTTTTCCGAAATAATCGTCGATACGGGTTTTAAAACACTTCACAGAATCGGCCTCTATTAATCCTTCTGGTAGTGTATTCCATAAGTTTACGATTCTTCGTTCGATACATAGCTGATGTGATACTTTGTTCATGCTGGGGACCCTGGGTTTGTAACGGTGTCCTCAGGTGTTACAGGGTTCCCGGAGGCGAAATATTGGCCGCAGTATGGGGAAGTGATTTAAGTGTAGTACTCAATGGGTCATAATAAGATCAATTCTTACTCGGCGATAGGATAGTGTGTAGAGTCCGAGCCCTTCACGTTTTTCATACGGAGGCTTTTGTAGACTCGGTATCATACTAGTTACCATATGCTGTATTTTCTCCAGCTTTTCAGTTTCCCATTGGGTTATCGGATGATAAGCTGGGGCACCGTATTCAAGGATTAGTCTAATGAGCGAGGTGAATAGACGAGGGACGGTTTCTTCGGACCATGTGGAGAAACTGCGTCTTAATGCCCAGAGCATACGAAGTCCCGCACGGTACAATTTCTCTGTATTTTCTAGTGATCTCATATCATGTCGAAAGAGCACTCCTAAGTCTCTGACAGATGTGTTGGGATGGAGCAACTGGCCGTCCAAGGTGTATGATCGAGTGGCTGGACGTCTGGTGATACTGATGGACTCCGAGTTGCTTGCGTTAAGAGGGAGTTGCATTTCAGTGGACCACGTTGACAGTCGCTCTAAGTCATGCTGGAGGCGAGCGCAGTCGTCCTGGTTCTCAATGATCCTCCAGATTTTCAAATCATCTGCAAACAGGGCACATGGTGACTGGAGCTGTTGCGGAAGATAGCTGGTATAAATAATAAATAATACTGGCCCAAGTACAGTTCTTTGAGGCACGCCACTAGTCGATGGGAAACATTCTGTCAGGTAGTCATTGACCTGTACTCTAAACTTTCGCCCCACAATAAACTCGTGTAACCACTGAAGTAACGTCCCACCGATTCCGTATGTCCTCAGTTTACCAACGAGTACCTCGTGGTTCACTATGTTAAAAGCCTTACTAAAGTCGATGTACACCACGTCAACATCCTTCCGTTCGTTGAGAGCTCGTACTCACTGGTGGTTTGTGTACATCAAGTTGGTGATGCAGGATCGCCCTTTCGTAAAGCCGTGTTGCGCTGGCGTCAATACGTCCATCGATTCGAAGAACGACAGCAGACACTTTTTCACAACCTTCTCGAGCACTTTGGATAATACCGAAGTCAAACAGATCGGTCTATAGTTCTCTAGTTTACTCGAATCACCACCCTTGAGAAGCGGTCTCACTATCGAGCATTTCCAGTCGTTCGGGACAGATCCTTCAGAGAGCGATTTATTGAAAAGGTTTGTCACGGCTGGTGAGATGATAATCGATAGGGAATTGAGTATTAATGGGTGAAGTCCGTCTGGTCCGGGGGGATTTGCACCATCGAGTTTGACGAGTAGCTGCTGGTACAATTCGACTGCATCACATTGTAGGCTGTTGAGCAAGACTGGCGCAACCTGTGCCGATATTGAAACCGCCGCCGGTTTACTGGAAAATACTGTAATGAAGTGCGTAGCCAAGGCGTCCACGCGCTCCGCGCTTGAAATGAGCGTCTTTCCGTCCAAGCTTTCTAAGACCGGTAGGTCGCCCCCAATTTTCAGTTGACGTTTCAAGTAGGCAAATATTCTTTTGGGTGCAGTTGTGGCCGAGATTGCTAGCCCCTCCTCGAACCGCCGGCGTTTCTTGATCTTTGCGGCGTTACATAAGTTACGCTGTTTCCTGTACACCGTGTAATCTTAATCACAACCCCAGCTGATGTATCCATCCCGAAGTTTGCGACGCCGTCGCGCTAACTGTCTATATTCAGTAACAAACCAATGCGGTTTGACAGGTCCGATCCTTGAATACTTAAAGGGAACGAATCGAGTACAGAGCGAGTTAAGCTTCCCCTTCATTAATGACCAACAGGCCTCAAGTGAGGCATCCTGTGGTAGTGTCCAATCAGTCTGACTTGCAGCTTGGACGAGCCCGTTGAAGTCCGTCTTCCAATAGTTGAATGTCGGCTTCCGTTGATTGTAATATGGTAACGACAGTTCTAAGCTTGCCACAATGGAGCAGTGGTCACTGTTCGCCAGAGGTTCGATGACTCTGATCTCGTTCAGCTTCTGCTCGCAGCTCGAAAATCATTAGATCCAGACAAGATGCCGAGTGCGGAGTTACGCGAGTCGGTTGGATGACATGTTGCGTTGCCCCGATTTCAATAGTCATTTTAGCGAATTGTTTTGCGACCGTAATAGGATACGCACCTGCGAGCACGGTCAGACGCAGGTGGGTTTTGGCCGGTTTGCACCAATTGGACCAGGAGCTGCCTGGCCTGAGGCGGGCAGTAGCAAACCATTGAACACCCGGAGGTGCCCTCCCACC